TTTCCTGCTTATGCAGGGGGTCGGACTCGATGATCTATTGAGGTCCCTTCCGACCCTAACATCTATGAATCATGTATGAATCTAGGTCCCTGTGGCCCCTCTCCCCCCAATGCAAAGCATGCTGAGAGCTGGGGCCAGCCTGAGCAAAGGATTCTGGGAAGGGCAGGTGGAGTGGCTGGTTTGGGGTTACGGGGTGACATTTCCCCCCTGGGGTGCTGGGCCATGGAGCAAGAAGCCAGGAGGGAAATGGCTAGGTGGCACCTGCCCCTCCCCAGTGCCAACCCCCCACCTTTTCCTGATCATGGGGGTGCCCCCTCCCTGCCCCCATCCTGCTGGGGAAACTGAGGCACTGAGTAGGCTGAGGTGACAGCAGAGAGAGGACATCTTGCCCACTCAGGCAGGGAACACAGGAGTCCTGGAAGCTGATTCTACCACCCCACTGTGGGCCAGACCAGGGTCTGGGGGTGGTCCCAGCCAGAGCCCCCCAGCTCAGGAACTGGCCCTGTAAACCCTTCCTAGCCTGATCCCAGCCAGCACACTGCCCAGGGGCGGGGGGACACTTTTGGCCCCAAGCTGCCCCTTGCAGTGCCCCTTGGGGTGGGTGTGACCCCACACAGCCCTAGAGAGGGGGAACACACCTGGGCTGTTAGCCTGCCCCCATGTCTCAGTTTCCCCTGCTCCCCAGAGTCAAGGCCAGTCCTGCCCTGGTGAGGGGGTAAGGGAGGGGGGCGGGGCTTCAGCTGCCAAGGCTGGCACTGCTGGGAGGCTCAGGTGGGCCTGGGAGTCCAGATGCCTGGGTTCTCACTCTGCTCTGGGAAGGCAGTGGAGGCCTGGCTGGGTTGGGAGGAGTCCAGGCACCTGGGCTTTCTCTTTGCTCTGAGAGGGGAGTGGGATTGGTTGGGGTTAGAGTAGACGGATAGGAGCCCAGATGCCTGGTTTTGCTCCCTCCTCTGGGAGGGCAGTGGCCCTATGGGAGTTGCTCCAGGCCTCACGCCCAGCATCAGGGCAGAATGCGGCTCCCTGGGCTGATTTCCCCCCATGTCCAGCCAGACCCTGTCTGGGAGGAGGCAGGCAACAGGATGGGGCTGGTGCCCCCCCCCCCAGCAAAACAAAGGGGTTTTCTCCCCCCCGCCAACAATGAGCCTTGGAGCCAACCAATCCACCCGCCAACAATGAGCCTTGGAGCCAACCAAGCTCCGGGTGCCATGGCCGGGCCCAGCCTGGGAGGGGGGGGTGTACAGCAGGGCACCCTGGGGCCCTTCCCCAAGCCACTGTGGGGGCGCAGAGCCTAGGGTAGGTCATGGGGGTGGAGTCAAGGGGTGTGGGAGGGCACCATCACCAAAGTGAGCCTGGGCAGCCCATGGAGACCCTGCTTCCTGCCACCCCCTTCCCTGTCTGGGTTCCATGGTGGGGGAGCAAGGGGGAAACAGGCGTGAGGCCTGGGAGAGGCACTGGACAGATCCCCCTTGGGCCAAGATTGGGGGTGCCAGGCACTGCCACCCACTGAGATGAACCCAGGAGTCCAACTACATGTGCCCCTGGCCTGAGGTACTTTCCTTTGTCTCCAAGGCAACTGCTGCCCCCCCTCCCCCTCCCCTCCTCTGGTGCTATCCACAGAGGAAAGAAAAAAGGGAAGGTCCTGCCCCCCACATCCTGGTGCCCAGCCCTGCTGATGGGTATAGGTGTAGGGGCAAGGGCCCTGCTTATCTACCCTGCCAGAGTAGATAAGGGGACTGGGCCCCTGGCTCAGTCTTGAGATTCAGCTGGCTCTGGGGTGGGGCATTGGGGCTGGATGTAACAGGGCCCCTCACTCGTGCTAGGACACAGCTGGCTTTCAGGTTGGACATTGGGAGCTGTATATAATGAGGACCCTCTTTGGCGCTAACATGCAGCTGGGTCTGGGGTGGAACACTGGGAGCTGTATAATGGGGATCCTCAATGGTGCTGAGATGAGGCTGGCTCTGGGGTGGGACATTAGGGCTGGATGTAGCAGGGGCTTTCACTAGTGCTGAGCTGCGCCTTGCTATGGGGTCAAAGTCAGGCCTGGGTATAGCAGGGACACTCACTGGTACTGAGATGCAACTGGCTCAAGTGGGTGCTGGGGCTGGATATAACAGGGATGCTGGGATGCGGCTGGCTCTGGGGTGGGGGGTCTGCACTTCTGATGGAGTCACTCCTGGTCCTGTGCCATGGGGGTGAGGGGTTCCCGTTAACCCTTTGGGGGCTGGGCCTGGCAGTGTGTGGGAGGGGGTAGGGAGGCTGGAGCCCCTTAACCTCTTGGCAGCTGGACTCTGGGCTGGGTGCTATTAACCCCTCGGTGGCTGGACTGGCAGTGGGGGCTGGGTGTCAGAGTGAGTTGCTCTGTGCACACGGCGGGAAGGGGAAGTGGTTTTAGTGACATGCAGTCCGCGGGGGAGGGGACGGGGTTCAGTTCTAGTGGCAGGAAGCCCCGGGTGTCTCTGGGGTGTGGAGCAGACGGCCAGTGGGCCAGGACTGGGGCCGGGATGTCCTTCTCCGACCCGGACACAGGTTCTGAGCACGATGCTGAGGTACTGGTGTGAGTGTTGGGGGGTGGCTCCTCCCCAGCTACAGCCGCATCCAGTGCCATGGAGTGGTGGAGAGGAAGTCACTGCCACCTCCCCCAACTCCGCCCTGCATTGTGGCCCTGAGGAGGCAAGATTGAGGGCACCAGTCCCCTGCCCCCAGTAGCTCCCCCCTTCTGTCTGCCATGTCTTGAGGGAGGCATTGCCAGTAGTAACAAGGCCTCTGGGGAAATGGGAAGACTGGCAGGCGGGAAAACAACCTGGGCTGGGCCTGGGTGTCCTGTGATGCGTCCACCTCTGTGGTGGAACATGTTGGCAGCTGAATACAACAAAGACCCTTGCGTGGCTGCCTCTAGGGTAGGGGCTGGGCTGGGGAGAGATGTGGGGTGAAATCAGACACTAGGGGAGCTGCCAGGGTGGGACAGATCAGGAAGTCAGGGCCTTTCCGGGGCTTAGTTTCAGCAGATCAGGTGTCATTAGTGCTGCAGGTTGGGGTGAAGGAGGCCAGGCCTCAGGGCCCCAGGTGCTGTCCAGACCCCCCAGGCTAGGATCGGGGGGCGCTGGGCATTGTACAGTCCCTCAGGTTGGGATTGGGGGACACTGGATGCTGTACAGACCCCCCCCCCCCAGGCCAGGATCAGGGAGATCTGGGTGCTATACAGGCCACCCAGACTGAGATCCTCCCAGTATCTCCAAACAAAGCTGGTTTTCCCTTGCCCCCAGCAAATGGGGAAACCAAGGCACAGTGATTGCCCAGCCCATGTTCAGTGGGTCAGGTCTGTGCCCCCTTTTGCTCTAACCTCCCTCCATCTCTCCAGGACAAGGGGGCAGAGTTGGTGCAGGCAAAGCTGGATCTGGGGGCAAGGCTGTGACCCCTGCTCTAACCCTCCTGTCCAGGGCTTGGTTGGGGGGGATGGGTGTCAGGCCTGTGTCCCTAGTACTAACACAGTCCTTGTGCCCCCTCCCCCCTCGGACAGTGCTGGGAACAGAGAGGGTGGGGGGCAGGGCTGGGTGCTGGAAGAATCTCAGGACTCTACCACCCCACTCTGGCTCTAACCCCCTTCCCTCTCAGCCCTGGCTGGATGCTGGGGCTGGGCAGGGGGGTCTCAGGGCTTTGTTTTCCCTGGCTTTAACCCCTCTCCTGTGTGCTCCCCTAGGGCAAGGGCCCCAGCTTGATGCTGGTGGCACTGGGGCTGGGGGGACACTGGTTGCTGAGGCTCTCAGGTCTGTGCCCCCAACTCTAGCCTCCCCATGTTCCCCCCAGGGTGAGGCCCCAAACTCGGTGCTGGGGGTATTGGGGGAAGGGTCTTAGGGCTTTGCCCCCAGTTCTAAACCCCTCTATCTCCCCCCAGCTCAGTGCTGGAGCTTTTGCCCCAGCCCCTCCCTTTTCCCCACAGGGCGAGGCCCCCAGCTCGGTGCTGGCAGCGCTGGGGCTGGGGCCTGGGGGGGCTCCGGACCTGGCTGCGCCAGGGGTGCAGCAGCGGCTGGACGAAGAGCGGGAGCGCATCCGGCGTGAGATCCGCAAGGAGCTGAAGCTAAAGGAGGGGGCAGAGAACCTGCGACGTGCGACCACCGCCCGGCGCCACCAGGCCAGTGTGGATGGGCTGCTCAAGGGCTCAGCCCGGCGCCTCCGTGACCTGCACGAACGCCTGCGCAGCCTCGATGCCCACATCATGGTCAAGGAGACGCCTGATGACCCAGGTGGGTGGGGCTGGGGTGTGGGGGCAGAGCTTGGGGCATGGCTGGGTGGGGTCTCAAGGCCTGGAGGACCTGGGGGCAAGGCCTGGAGCCCAATAACAAGGTCTTGGGCATTGGGGGGTGGGGTTTGGTACCTGGGAGAGGGGCTGGAGCAAAAGGGCGTGGGGCAGGGAGGCACAGAGAATGGGGGCAGAGCACTGGGGTAGGGGGCAGTGTCCAAGGTCATGGCTGGCTCAGGTCAGTGCCTGAGAGTGGGGTGTATCCAGGCTCAAAGCCCTGGGAGCTGCCTGCACCTCTCACTAGGGACTGGTTATACTGGGACTCCTCCCTGGGGGTCCCTCCACAGAAGCCCCCCCTTCATGCCCTTCCCCGCGAAGAACCTGGGCCTTGCCCCCAGCACCCTCCCACGCGGTTTCATAACAGGAAGCAGCCGAGAGAATCCGGCCCCCACAGGCAGGAAGTGACGCAGACATTCCCTCAACGGCCAGAAAAACAAAGGCCCAAGATGCAGCCGGCTCTAGGGTGGGGGATTGGGGCTGAGTATAGCAGGGCCCCACGGCTGGCACTGAGACACAGCTGGCTCTGGGATGGGGTATTGGGAGCTGGGTAGAACAGGGCCCCTTGGCTGGCATTAAGATGCAGTGAGCTCTGGGGTGCAGCATTGTGGCTGGGTATAGCAGGGCCCCTGCCTGGTGCTGAAATGCAGCCATATCTGGGATGGGGCATCATGAGCTGGGTATAACAGGGGCTTTGGATGCTGGGCTTCATCCATATGGAGCTGCTCCCCGGCCCCTACAGATGCCCCGCAGTCTCCTGGCAGCCAGAGTCGTGCAGCTGCAGCCGAGAGCCGCCTGGCCGGGCTGGAGAAGCAGCTCAACATCGAGCTCAAGGTGAAGCAGGGGGCCGAGAACATGATCCAGACCTACGCCAATGGCGCCTCCAAGGTGAGCCTCACTCCTGTGGTCCTTCCTTATAGCTCCACCCCAGAATATGATTTAGACGTATATCAATCAGTGTCACCTCCACAGTGAGCCCCTCCTGGGACCATTGGCCATGCCTCCACCTGACAGCCTTACTCCCAACCCTATAACGCTGCCCCAGAACATGATTTATGCCAAAGTTAATGGCGGCTCCAAGGCAGGCCCTGCCTCCATGCCCTTGGCCATGCCCATAGCCCTGTAGCTGCTCTTCACAACATGATCCTGTCCCTGGCCACACTCCTGCAGCCTCCCTCTCTTCCTATGCCCCTCTCCTCCCTGCAAAAACAAGAGCCAGTCCTAGGCCAACAGAGTCTCCAAGATGAGCTGCCCCCAGGCCTCTGACACTGCCCCCAAGCTCACCCAGAACATGGCCCAGACCTATGCCAAGGCTGCCTCCAAGGCAAGCCCCTCCCCCAGCCCTTAGTCATGCCTCCAGCTCGGAGGTGAGCCCTGCCCTACAACCCTGGGTTACAGCCATCCCCCAACCTCCCTTGTCTCCCCAGGGTATAACCCTCCACCCCAGGGGTCCCCCCAGCCAGGAAGGGCATCCTGGAGGGGCTTTGACACCAGTGGACCCCCTATCTCCCCAAGCATCCTGTGTAGAACTGGGAAAGGGGGCAGGGGCTTGTGGGGGAGGGGGGCAATTGCTGGTGGCCGCATCTGAGCCATGCCAAACTAACTTGGGACCCCCGCCCCCCCCCAACTCATGGGGGAGGGAGGTGTGGGGGGCATAAGGGCCTGTCTGGGGCAGGGCACTGCAGTGCCAGAGGGTGAGGGTCCCTGGAGGGGCTGGGCTCAGGTAGCACCCCCTAACCCCCCTCCTTTGCCCCTGTCCCCCACCCACCCAGGACCGGAAGCTGCTGCAGACGGCCCAGCAGATGCTCCAGGACAGCAAGACCAAGATTGACATCATCCGCATGCAGATGCGCAAGGCACTGCAGGCTGGAGCTGCTCCCCCGGACCCTGATGACCCCACAGGTGGGTGGGTGGGGAGGGAGGGATGCCCCCATGGGCCAGGCCCCACACCTAAGACCTCAGGTGCTGCCCACACTGCCCAGGCCCTTTGTATCTGAGGCCAAATTAGGCAAAACTAATTCCAAATCCAAGAATCCAGAACCATAAGTGGCCCTACTACCAGCAAACATCCTCCACTCACACCTGGGGCTTCAGATGTTTCCAAAATCTTTGGCAGGCATCCTACTTGCGGACCCAAGCCCAGAGGCTTGGGGTTCGGATGCCTTCAAGTTTTGCTTGCCCTTAGCCATAAGGCCCTCGGAGCAAGCAAGGGAGGGCAGGAAGCAGAGATTTTTTTTTTTTTATTTAAATAATTGTTTTGTGTTCCAAGCCAAATCAGCCAAATCAAGTCCAAATCTGAGAGTCAGTCCAGAACCATAAGTGGCCCTACAACCAGCAAACATCCTCCACCTCCACCAAGGGCTTCAGATATTTCCAATCTTAAGGCAAGCATCCTATGTGCAGGCTTGGGGTTTGGATCCCCCCAAGTTTTGCCTACCCTCAGCCATATGGCCGCAGAAGCAAGCTAGGGAGGAGCCTCCCATTTCCATAAAGTACACCTTGGCGGATACTAAACCACACCAGAAGAACAGCTATTCCTGGGTGCACTTAAGGAAAACTGCCTTCATGGACCCAGATATATGGTGTTTCCCCTGCCAGATGTCCCTGTGGTCCAGGCCCCACCCACCAACAGTACAAGCCCCACCCACACTTCCAAAGCCCCTGCTCCTGACCCCATCAATCCCACAGTGAGGGTGGGATGCAGGGAGTAGCAGCCCAGACCCTGCCCACATCACTCAGGCCCCGCCCCTGTCTCCCTTAACCTTACAGATAGGGTAGAGAGGGCTGCTGGGAGAGATGCCTGAATGGCCCAGGCCCTGCCTCCAGCACCAGAGATCTCACAGGTGGGGTGGGAGGGACAGAGAGGGACACCCCCATCTCTCAAGTCCTGCCCTCAAATTGTAACAACCTCACAGGTTGGGGAGGCAGGATGTGACACTCCCATTTCTTAGGTGTGACACCCCCAGTGCCCTCAGCATTCATCTCCCTGTGGAAGTACCTACAGTGCCCCACCTCAGAGGCAGCTGCATATCCAGCCCCCAGTGGGCCCCATCCCAGAGGCAGCTGCACTGGGAGGGGATTCCTGTGTCCAAGTCCATTGCCTGAGGAGGGTTGGGCACTGGGGATTCTGGCCAGCCAGGACGATGTGGCAGGGAGCCCAGACAGGAGGGCAGGGAGACTCCATCCATTGATTCCCTGGCAGCCGGCGCCACCTGTGTCCCGGACCCATTAACACATGGGCACAGAGAACCCAGGCGTCTAGGACGCGTGCACACACGCGCGCGCACACACACACACACACACACACACACACACACACACCCGCCCGCCCCTCCCCCAGGTGTCTGGGACATCTGTGTATGTGTACACATGCCACACCCATGTGGTTGGGGTGTGTCAGCACGTGTATGTGTGTGTGCGTGACAGCACTATTGCCTTGCTCTTGTGGGGGTGGGGGGGGAGTGCACATGGCCCTTGACCCCACACCAGCTCCAGCCACACCCCCATATATCAGGAGCTGATGGGGGGTGGTGTTTCCAGCAGGAGCTGAGCTGTAATGGGTCTGACAAGATGTCTGTGCCTGGCAGGCCTAGGGAGGCTGAGCTATGGGTCTGATGGGATCTTTGTGTCCTGCAGGCCCGGGCCCAGGGGGGTGTCCATGTGCCCAGAGCTGTGGCCCTGATGGGATGTGTCCCGGCAGGTCTGGGGGGAGGGTGCCCTGTGCTCTGATGAGGTGTCCATGTGTCTGGCAGGTGCGGGGGAGCTGAGCTGTGCGGAGCTGCGGGTGGAGGAGCTTTGGCACCACTTTCGTGTGGAGCTAGCCGTGGCCGAGGGCGCTAAGAACGCTCTGCGCTTGCTCAGCTCTGGCTCCAGCAAGGTGCAGGACCGGCGTGCCACTAACGAGGTACGATGCCCCTTCACCCCACTGCCATGGTCCAGTCTCAACCCTCACCCCACACCTACAGCCATGGAGGCACCACAGCCCTCATGCCCCCCTGCATCCCCCACTGCCAGTGTGGTATGGTCTCCCTTGCCCCACTGGCATGGTACAGCACCCCACAGCCAACCTGGTACCCTAACAGCCTCCCT